TTCTGCTGTTTATGGCCTTCACCTAGAATACACTTCTCCCAGATAACCACATGGTTCAAGACCTGATCACTCACATTCAGGTTTTCGATCAATCAATTCGCCTTTTCCTTCAGGCCTTATTTAACATTCAACCCTGCTGGTCAGCATCTTTTCATATTTCCTTACACTATTTTTCTCTATCGCACTTGTCACCACCTGACACACTGTATACTTAAATTATTTATGTGTTGATTCAAACTCATTGATGGCAAAGATTTTGTCTATTTTGTTCCCAGCATGTTAAAGAGTGCCTTGTATGTATTGTGTGTTCTGTCATTATTAAATTAATGAACTAGACTTGTAAAAGAGCTGAATAAATGGTAATAATATATATATTTTTCTTTTTTAGAGGTCTTTGCCTTAGAGTGAATGCGCTTGCTGGAGAGAGAGAATGAGACAGACACAGTGACAAAGTGAGAAACCACCTCCCAGGGGGAATGGCCACACCACAATCCCTTCTCCTCCATTCTCCTCCCAGGATGTTCGGCACACATGCCCACATGCCCAGCATGATTTTGAAGCCACCAGGTCTGGGACTCAAACCACAGTCAGCCATGTGGGAGTCCAGTGATATAACTGCTACACCAACTTCTGGTCCCAATTATGACATTTAAAAATGGCAGTTGTATAATTTAATTTAAAAAAATGCTAAAGTTCAAGGAAAGAGAAAATGGCAGGGGCCGTGGGAAGCTAACTAAAGAATTTTAGTTAAATTAAATGAGTTAACATATGTAAAACACATAAAAGTGTCTGGGCATAGCACTTACTATGTATGTACTTGCAATTCTTTTTATTATTTGGGCAAGAGCACAATCTTGTATCAACAGTGTAATAGAGAATGCAAAAAACAAAGCAAATGATGAATTCCATCTTACACCATATTGAAGACTATTAACTTCATAATAAGAAAAATGAGAGACTTACTCTATGCTATCATAGTTCATCATCAATAAATTCTGAGCACCTTATTTAAAAAGAGCGTGAATACTCTGTCCCATATATGTGCCAGAGAACTGTAATAGTAAAGGGAACTCAGAGTGTTTATCTAAAGAAGATAATGTTGCTGTATTAAAATACTTAATAGTCATATGGAAAAACAAACTAATTCTGTTAACTCCTGAAGTCCAAGAAAGAACAATGGGTGGGTACTGTAAAATAACAGATTTTTTTTTTTTATCAATTTAAGAGAGGATTTTCTGACAGTAAAAACTATCAAAGTATATAATTAGCTTATTAGGTGGACAGGATTCCATGACCTACAGGTATATGTGCATATGCTGTACAAATGTGTAGTATAAAGGAATGTACCTGGGCTTTGGTATCACAATAGCCTGAATCCAAATTTCACATGTGTAACTTATTAATTGCATTAATTACCTGATCAAGTGATTTAAACTCTCTAAGCCTCAATTTCCTCTTCTTTAAAATGTACTTCAATATCATAGAGATTATGAGAATAAAATGAAATTAAGTGAATGTTAGAACAAAATACTGTATTTGGCACATATTAGGCCCTCTTTGATATATTAAAGGTAATTCAAATACTAGAATGTATGATTGGACTAAAACTATAGTGTCTTCCAGGTCTATAAACCTGTCATCCCATGACATTATTCATTGTACTTGAAGTTTACTAAAAATTGGATCTCAGAGCTGACATCTGAGACAATATATAAGCAATTTGTGTTTTACTAGGGGAAAGCAAAAATTAACATCTGATTAATAGGCACTTAGGAAGTTAAAACAGAAGATTATCCCAGAGAAAGACAGGAAAAATGTTTCTTCTTTATGTTCATCTATCACATAATGTTAACAAATTTTCTGAAGAAGCATGTCTTGGAGATTAGACATTGCTCTAATTGTAAATCCTGAGCAGTGCGGCCAGAGATACATACACAGCCCTTTAGAAGGTAAGTTTTTATTACTTTCTGAAGGCTGACACTTTTAACAGTTTATATTCTCTAAGTCAATGAACATTTCCTATATTTCACATCAATACTTTCAATTTCCATGTGGGGCAGTAAGATAGAAAAACAGAGCAAGACAAAATAGAAATGGTTAGAGAGGGAAAATCTGAAGGCTAAAGAAAAAATGAAAATAAGAAGGGAGGATAAAATATACTTGGACAGGACCCAGCAGGTGGCATAATGTTTAAGGTGATGGACTCACACTTGGCCAACCACAGTTCCAGTCCTGGACCTGACAGCTTGGATGCTAAGCACGTGTGCGTGCCTCTCCAAAATTCCAGGAGAATGGAGAAAGAGGGATTGTGATCTGGTCATCCCCCACAGGGGGTGATTTGTTACTTTCCTTCTCACTGCCTCTGTCTGTCTCTCTCTGGTGAGTACATGCAACCTATGGCAAAAACCTTGAAAATATTAAAATAAATGCACTCTGAACAAAACAGGGTGAAAAACAAACACAAAACACCATATAATATTTAAATAATGTATGCTTATTGAAACACCATCAAGGTAAAACATTTTAAAATCTATGTCACATTTAATATTTATTTAAAATCTCAAAATTTACTCCATGTGTATAATATGTACTTGAATCTTTCCAGTCTACACAGGCATGAAGAATGTAATGTAATTAGTAAAGATATAATAAAATAGGATAATCTCAAACAAAAGACCTCTATTGAGTTAATAATGAGAAAGATGCAGTGATGATTTATGGCAGATATGTGATGCAAAACCACTTTTTTTTTTTTTTTTACAATACCTTTGGTGACTGGCTCCTACTTTCTTATTGAAGCTGAATTCAACCCTTACCTAACTAAAAGAAATCCTTCGAGAATAAAGTGGTCTGCCCTCAGGAAAAACTGTCAAGTAGCTTATTCCTCTATTTTTTCTTTTACACTTCCGATTTGCCTATGAATTTAATATTCTTGTGCTTTAATTCAACTTTCCTCAATAAAAACTGTCTTTCAGAAAGGAACTAAAAAACTCAAAAGGAAAACGTGAATTAATTAACATTGCACATCTCACAGGAATTTTTTCATTTTGTTACAGAACTAGACAACACCTACTTTTGGTACCAGCAGAAGGCATAATGGTAACATCACTGGACTCCCACATAATTGACCATGGTTCGAGTCCTGGACCAGGTGACTGAAAGCTCATAATGGGCGCATGTGTGAGCATACCCAAAATCCCAAGAGGAGAATGGAGGAGAAGGGACTGTGGCATGGCCAACCTTCCTGGGGAGTGTTTTCTCACTTTCTGATTCTCTGTCTCTCTGGCAAGTGCACAAGCCCTATATCAAAAATCTCTCAATAAAAAAACAAAATACTTTCAAACATCATCAAACTGGAAAAGAAGGTAGTTTCTAAGGCAGAGGGGATTTCTTTTTAATAAATGATATGTTTAAAATGCAGTTGGTATTAGGTGCTTTCTTCTGGCACGAAACTTCTAAGCAATAGGTAAAACAAAGAGAAAAACAAAAGAAAAAACTTGCTCTTAAGCCATTTACCATCATTAGTGTTTTAGATTCTTAACCTTCCTTCAAATGAACACTAACTTAATTAGAAAAAAAAGAAATATAATAAATTATGTTTCTATATAATAAATTATATTTCTATTTCTATTTGTTTTAGTCAAATATAAAATATCTCAGGCAGTCACATATAAAATATCTCAGGCAATCTGTAAGTCTAGAGTGTACTAGCACAGATTTTTTTTCTAAACAAAGAACAAACATAGGTACCCAAGGCAAAAGGTTCCTTTTCGTGGGACTTGCTGAGGAAAAATAAATTTCCAGCAGTGGCATCTGCATACAGATGAATTTCTTTATGCCAATATATGCTATATATCATTCCTAAGAATTTTGACTCCTAAAGTGTATAGATAAATTACTGTGTTCTCTTGGATAATTAAGAGTCCCAAAGAATGGTAACAGTCTCTGTGAAAGGCAAGTTCATGCAGGAAAATTATTTCCTAGGAGAAGAGTCTTCCAGATCAGAAATGTGAATTAAAACCTAGTTTTTGGGATCAGCAGATGATGTAACAGTTACATCGTTGGACCCTCACATAGTTGACCATGGTTCAAGTCCTAGACCTAGCAACTTAACACTCATGCTGGGAACATGTGGATACATGCCTATAATCCTGAGAGGAGAATGGAGGAGAAGAGATTGTGGCATGGCCATACCGTCTGGGGGATGATTTCTTACTTTCATCTCTCAGTCTCTCTAGGGAATGCATGAGCCCTATAGCATGAAATCTCTCCAAGAAATGTAGTTTTTTATTCAAAATATGCTGTAAAGATACTGCTCACATATACCCATTATAGTCTACATCCTTCACTAATAGGGTTTTTTTTGTCATATTCTCGAATATCATCTGTGAGAAACATTTGTGTTTTTATTTGTTTCATTCATCTTCATTTGTATGTCAGAAAAGAGTAGATCAAAATATGGTTTAAACATTCATTATACAAGGTAGCTTTGAAAGTTCATGGAAAGTGTGTATTGTGAAAAAGCTGTATCGATTTCAAAATTTTTTCATACCCAAACAAACTTATACTTTAATTCCATTTTTCCAGGGCCAGCAGGTAGCATAGTGGTTAAGGCATTGGACTGCTACTTGGCCAATAGCAGTTCAAGTCCCAGGTCTGGTAGCCTGAAATTCACGTGGGGTGCATGTGCGTGTGTGCACCAAATCTCATGGGGAAAATGTAGAAGAGGAGATTATGGCAGGGCCATCCCCTTAGGGGGGTGATTTCTCACTTACTTTTTCTCTCACGTGCTTGCAAGTGCATGTGCCCAACAACAAAATATCTCTCAGAAAATTCTATTTTTATATGAAATTTTTGACATTCTCTTGCATATATATGCATCTTTATTTTTATATGGACTACTAAAGGAAAAATAATTATTTAATATCTTAGTATCAAGAGAAATGTAGAACATATAAAATAATTTATTTTATACTAAAAATATCTTAATGGCTGCTTACCACATCTATCATATCAGATTCCATTTCATGACTGAGATCAGACTGCAATAAAAAGCAAAAAGTAAGTTAGTCTCAAATTATAGATATAAAATTATTCTTCATTTAATTGTACAAGGTAAATATTAAATATTAATACAAGTATGTTTGAAATAATCTATTCTTTTCTAAGTTACAGAAAGACATTCTTCAGAATCTGAAGAACAGTCAATCTGAGAATCTCTAAAAGATAGCTTTTATTCATTTACATTTATCACAAATCTAATATATTTGGACTTATGTTTTTACCTTATTTTATGTCTTCTTCATACCATATCCCCCCCTAGCTCTCTTTATCCCCTTTCCTACATTCTATTAAATCACATTCTAGTCATTCCCTTTGTCTTTCCTTCTGTTGCTATATTACACAATGTACTTATGTACCTTTATCCTAATGGTTTTAACTTTTAGCACACTTTATCTGGTTACTCAAAATTTGTATCTTCTCATCAATACAATAACCTTAAAACACTATACTATGATCTCATCACTTCCAAATTTTATGTTATCATTGTCAAATATTTTGCTCCATCTTTTGTCCAATTACTCAAATTAGTTTTCCTTTTTTAGAGATTATTGCAATTGGGTGCATGTGCTTGCCAGAGAGACATACGGAAAGTGAGAAATTGCACCCCAGAGGGAATGATCACACCACAGTCCCTTCTCCTCCATTCTTGGGATTCTGGGCACACATGCACATGTGCCCAGTGTGAGTTTCAAGCCACTAGGTCCAGGACTCAAACCACAGTCAACCACATGGGAGTCCAGCACTTTAACCACCATGCCACCTGCTAGTACCTCAATTTAGTTTTCTTTAACTGACAAAGGTCACAGATATAAATGATATTTTAAAGTTTTTCTAATAACTTTAGTTCCTTTTAAAATATTTTAGTTATTTTGTTCATAACAGAACGTATATACATACACACATGAGAGAGGGAGGAAGAGAAAGAAAGAAACAGAAATTCATTTTTGTACATGTAAAAGATAGGGGTTTAATTTCATTCTTCTACACATGGATACCCAATTTTCCGAGCACCATTCATTAAATATACTGTCTTTTCCACACTTGGATGTTCCTCGGAGCTTTTAAACTGTCAGTAATAGATTTGTTTATGGTTTTATTTCTGGATTCTCTATTTTGTTCCATTAGACTATGTCTCCAGGCTAGTAACATTCAGTTTCAGTTACTATGATTTTGACATGTATTTTATTTTATTTATTTTTTACTTTTTTTGGAGAGGTTTTTGCTATAGGGATATGTGCGCTCGCCAGACAGACAGAGACAGAGAGACAGAAAGCGAGAAATCACCCCCCAGAGGGGATGGCCATGCCGCAATCCCTTCTCCTTCATTCTCCTCTTGGGATCTTGGACACGCACACACACGCGCCTGGCATGAATTTAAGCCACCGGTTCCGGCACTCGAACCACGGTCGACTAGGTGGGAGTCCAGCGACATAGCCATTACGCTAACTGCTGGTCCCTTGACATGTATTTTAAATTCAAGACTATTGAGAACAACTATATACCAACAAGATGTAAAACCTAACAGAGATAAATACATTTCTGGACACATAAAATCTACAAAGATTGAACGAAGAAGAGACAGAAAGCCAGAAGAGACCAATGACAAGTTAACAAAATTTAATCAGTAACAAAATAGCTCCTGTATTAGTCCATTATTGCATTGCTAACCAGAAATACCTGAGAATGGGTGACTCATAATGAGTAGAGTTTATTTGGCTGGATTTCTAGTACCTGGAAAATAAAAGGGCAGGAAGCCAGCATCTGACTGGCCTCTCATGCTAAGTCACACGGCCAAGAGAAGTAAACAGGTCAGTGGTCACATGAAAGAGAAAGAGAGAGAGAGAAAGAGAGAGAGAGGAATCAGACTTCTCTGTGGAGAGCAGCTAGTCTGAGAAAACATGTGAGTTTTAGATGCATGCATAAATGTGTTTTTGTGGTGAGCTACTTTAGCAGGGCTATTGAGAAGTATTTATATACTAAAGTACTATTTGTTTGTTGTCAGGGGTTATTTCGTTGTTTTTATTGATACTCAATACCTCGACATTGCTAGCATTGGGCTGAAGGAAGTTATATGTGTTTAATCACAAATAAGATCAGAGAAATTAAATAGTGCCAGTCATTTTTACATCTTCAGACAATTAGCATCCCAAAACAACTGCTTTTGCATGTCATTTCCTTCTCCCCCATTCTCTTTGCATCCCATTTCCACTTCCCCCATTTCCTGCCCTTTAAAAGAATAAACCTTAGGACAGTTCCTGGTCACAATTTCTTCATCAGAGAATTTGGGTCCACCCAATTCTTGCTTTTCTATACTTGTGTGTCTTTGTGTGTTTGTTATTGCATCTATTTCTAATCCACAGCCTTCATCACTCAGAAAAATATGTTCATGCCAAGCAGGTCCTGGTACTTCACTTGCTTTGTTTGTTCCTCTCATTTTTCCAATTGGATGGTGACAGCCCATGTTGAAAATAGGGACTTTCCTCTGTCAATTCACTGAATAAGAAGCCAATGTTGCCTGGGAAGATAAGCACCTGCAGTGATGGCAGATCTTCCTTTTAAGGGTCTCAATACCTCCCAAAGTCATTCAATTAAAGCTCAAATAATAATACAAGAATCTTTGGGGAACAAACAATTTTCAAAGCCATAGTATCTCTTAACCAAAAAAGAAGCCCAGGTCTGGATGGCTTCATTACTGAACTTTGTAAATCATTTAAAAAATAAATAACATCAATTCTCAAACTATTCCAAAAGATTCAAGTGGAAGGAATCCTCCCAAATTCATTTATGAGGTCACCATTACCCGATACCAAAAACAAAGAAACGCCAGAGAACAAATGATGGACCAATATCCCTGATTAACATAGATGCAAAAATATTCAAAAAAAATACTAGAAAATTGAATTAAACAGCATATCAGAACGATTATATACCATGATCAAGTAGGATTTATCTCCAGGGATGTAAGGATAATACAACTACAGGTCAATACATGTGATACATCACATCAAGAGAAGGAAAGATAAAAACCATTATGATCATATCAATTGATGCAGAAAACGTATTTGAAATAGTACAGCATTCCTTAATAATGAGATCTATTTTAATATGCTATTTAAACAAAAAGTAGTTGCTGATATAGTTGCATTTATACTTTTTTTTATCAATATTTGCTGGCTTATTCTATGTGTTCTTTGTTTTGTTATTCTTTCTTCTTTATTAAATGTTTGTATTATTCCATTTCTTCTCATACATTAGGTTTTGTCTTTTGTTTGTTTCTTTGTTTGTTGTTTTGTTTTTTTAAGAGTTTTTACTGTAAGGTGTGTGTGCTCACTGGAGAGAGACAGAAAGAGACAAAGTGAGAAATCACCCTTCAGGGGGTTGGCCACACTGCAATCCCTTCTGCTCCACTCTCCTCTTAGGATATTGGGCTTGGGATTTGGGCTTGAATGCACACCTGTTGGTGTGATTTTGAAGCCATTGAGTATGGAACTCGAACCATGGTTGGTCATGTGGGACTCCAGCATCTTAATCACTAAACCACCTGCTGATCCCCCATTAGGTTTTAACTTATGCAGTATTTAATTATTCCTTTTATGGTTAAAATAGAGCAGGTAGGTTTGTTTGTTTGTTTCTAGAGAGTGAGGGAGGGAGAGGTACACTTAATAGTCTTGCCACACTGAAATTCTTCTCCTAGCCTCCTAGCCAGTGAGGGTCCATTTAATCACTGTATATCATTACAGCATGCAAAATTAATTTTCCCAGCATGAATACACTTCACATTAGACCAATTAAAAATATTATCATACACATTATCATCGATAGATAATTTTCTATTTTTGTGTCTCTTAAATGTTTCGCTTTTTTATTTTTTATTTTGATTAGCATACAGTGGGGTGTGACAGGTAATATCAAGTTATATTGAATGCCAAAGCAAATTAAACATCCACCTGTATTTTTACTAAAACAGAATTGAAGGCATCTAAATAATATAAAATCATGCAACTCTTCTCAATTTATTTAGGAAACAGTTGTCTTTTCATGGAAATATATTATTTATATTAACATGTAATGAATGGGCTTATTATTGTAACAGAAAAATGAACTAATAATTTTTTAAACTTATCAGTTTCAGCTAAATGAACTAATAATTTTTTAAACTTATCAGTTTGAGTTTTTAATATGGAAGCTATTTATAGATTTAAACCATTTAAATAAAGGCTCTTAGATTTCAAAATAATTTTTAAGAGGTTAAACAGATTCTGAGACCAAAAGGCTTAATAAATTTTACACTACAGGTTTAAATATATTTGACGCATTAACTTGATAATTTAACCAATTCCAAACAATGCCTATAATTTTTAAAAAGGCTGTGCCGTTGTTGTCATATTTTTGCTTTTGTGTTATACATTTTATAGAACACTAATATAGTTTTTGTTTTAAATAGGAAACATTCATTTATATTTTCCCCACATATTTACCTTTTCTAGGGCCCTTCATTTCTTTCTGCCATTTCTTACTTACATCTGAGATAATTTGACATCAGGCAGAACTCTCCTCATATGTCTTGTGATAAATCCTTTCAGCATTTATTTTTATGGAGACATTTTAATTTTGCCTTTATCTTTGAAGGGTATTCATATATATTTTATTTTCTATCAAATATAAAGAAGATAATACAAGTTCTTCTTTACTTATTTTTAATTTTTTAAATTATTTGTGTCTTTTTATCTATTATTATTATTTATACATTTGATCGCTATACATCATTTAGATTGTTAAGAGACTTTACCCAGCATGATATACACCTCAGTTCAGCCCAGTTGAGAATACTACACACATCACCATCAACAGATAATAGACTATTTACCTCTTTAAAGATATCACACAATTGTCTTCTAGTTAGGGTAACCAAGGATCTCGATTTTCCTGACTGTTACAGTTTTAACATTGAAAACAAAAGAACAGCTTCCTGCAACTCTCTCAGTACAGGGAGAATTAGAATAGTTTGCTATTCTACTTTTGGGTTCCATTGGTTCTGATAAAAAGAAAAAATCAACTATTAGTTTTAGTGTGTGTCCTTTGAAGAATGTCTCATTTCGCTTGTTGATTTTTTTCTTCTTAGAGAGATTTTTGCTATAGGGTACGTGTGCTTGTTGGAGAGAGTCAGAGAGACAGAAAACAAGAAATCACACCCCAGGAGGATAACCATACCACAATACTTTGTCCTCCATTCTCCTCTTGGGATTTTGGGCATGCACATATATGTGCCTGGCATGAATTTTAAGCCACTGGGTCTGGGACTAAAATCACAGTTGACTACATGGGAGTCCAGCAAGATAACCATTATGTCATCTGCTAGTCCCTCTGTGGTTGATTTTAAGATGTTGTTTCTGAGTTTGATTTTTCAATAATTAAAAAAAAATTAACAACAATGTGTATAGGTGACATTTTATTTATAACCTGCTTGTAGTTTGCTGAACTTTAATCAGTAGGTTGATTTCTTTCACCACATGTGTAAAATTATTCTTGGTCATTATTCCTTTAAATATTGCTTTTGTCCTATTTTATTTTTCTTCACCTTCTGGAATGTTTATTACACATATGTTAGACCTTCTGAGCATGTTATATATGCTCTGTTCTCATTTTTCTGTTTTAATTTGACTATTTTTAATTTACTTATCTTCAAGTTCACTAATATTTTCTGCTGTTAAACCTATCTATCAAAATATTTTAATTTTGGAAATGATATATTTCTAGAATATACAATTATTTTATATATTTTAATTACCCTTTGAAAGTACCCGTCTTTTATCCATCATCTCCATCTATTTCTCTATTTTCTTTGCTATTAATAATCACAGTTATTTTAAAGCTCTTCTCTGTTAACCCCAGTATCTGTAGTATAATTTCTAATATACTGCTACTATGATTTCTCTTGCTTATTAATCGTTTTTTCTTGTGTCCTTGCACATTCAGTAAATTTTATTATATTCCAGATATTGTTTGTGATACATCACAGTGACTGAATTATGCTAATTTCCTCTGAAACGTGTTAAATAATACTGTGGCAGACAGTTAAATTACCATTGTATCACCTTGATCCTGTTGAAATTTGTATATGCACTTTATTAAGATGATTCTTCTAGGATGTAGTCCTTAACCATAGGATAGGATCTTTTCAATGTCTCAGCTAAAGGCAGTGGCTGTTCAAAAAGGTCTCTTCATTCTGTTTTTGTTCAAACTTGAACCTCCATTCCTCAGAAATGGCTCAGCCTCTGAAATATATCCCTAACATTCCAACTTCCCAGTAACTGTTCTCTGGCAGAACTCTCAGCATTCTACTATTATTACATAAATACATAGCGGAGAAATAGGTTAAATAACCTGAAGAAATTTTATTCATATTTTTGCAGCTATTTCTCTATGGCCTCTCTGAAGCTCATTAACTATCCACCTGCCATTGTGGTCCTAAAATCATCTTCCCAGTAAGGCAGCTATTCTGTGATTGTGATCCACTACTCTATATTGTGATTTAGAAAATGCCCTCAGGGAAAATTTCAAGGTGCATTTGGGCTCACTTTCCTCAAGGATTGTAGCACTACTTGATTTTCAATGGTGCAAACAATGGTTTTATTTACATTATTCAGCTTTTTAAGTTACTTATTGTAGAAAAGTAATTCTGATATCAGTTACTATTCATCATAACTTCTTTCCTTACCCTATTTTCTTATATCCCATTCCCTTCTTCAAGATGACTTAATAGTTCTTTTAGTGAGGGCATGTGAATAGTCGTAAACTTTTTTTTTTTTTGAAGAGGTTTTTGCTATAGGGTGCGTGTGCTCGCCAGACAGACAGAGGGAGACAGAGAGACAGAGACAGAAAGCGAGAATTCACCCACCGGGGGCAATGGCCACGCCACAATCCCTTCTCCTTTCTCCTCTCGGGATCTTGGGCACGCACTCACATGCGACCGGCGTGAGTTTTAAGTCACCGGGTCCAGGACACGAACTGCGTTCAACTACATGAGATTCCAGCGACATAGCCATTATGCTAACTGCTGGTCCCAATAGCCATAAACTTCTGAAGTCTTTTTCTGAAAATGTCTTTATTTTGCTTCCTCTCTTTCTTTTTTAATTATTTTTTTTAGACTTTTGCTATACACACTTCCTAGAGAGAGAGAGACAGTGAAAGGGAAAGTGAGAAATCTTCCCCCCCAGGGAGAATGGCTATCTGTAATCCTTTCTCCTCCATTCTTCCCTTGGAATTTCTTTGGGGCCTGCACACACAAGCACATAGTGTGATTTTCAAGTTGCCAGGTCCAGGACTCAAATTGTGATTTGGCCATATTAGAGTGCAGTGTATTAACCACCATGTCATCTTCTGGTTCCTGATTATCACATGTTAAATAATTTCCTTTTGTCTTGTTAACCAATGCAAGTATACTTAATTTATAATTAATGTTCTTCTATTATTTTCAGTTGTGAGATGGCTTCTGTTGAAAAACAATTCTATCACGTTTCTGCATTTTTTGTGAGCAGAAACTCCATCTGCATTTGCTCTAGATGATCCTCCTCAGGATGCTCATACAGCATACAGCTTTTCAAGATAAAGGCAGTATAGGGAACCAGCAGTTAGCATAATGGCTATGTCGCTGGACTCCCACGTAGTCGACTGCAGTTTGCGTCCTGGACCCGGTGGCTTAAAACTCACGCCGGGCGTGTGTGCATGTGTGCGTGTGTGCCCAAGATCTCGAGAGGAGAATGGAGGAGAAGGGATTGCGGCATGACCATCCCCCCTGGGGGGTGATTTCTCGCTTTCTGTCTCTCTCAGTCTGTCTGGCGAGTGCCCTTTAGCGAAAACCTCTCCAAAAAAAAAAAAAAAAGATAAAGGCAGTATATAACTCCAGCACAAGGACAGGCAGAGTTACTTTCTGTCATAAAAGACTCTGGTTCCCTAAACACAGGTTTCTTTTTTTTTAATTTCATTTTTTATTTTCTGTAACACACTCATTTTGTGTGCAGGTGTCACTTGACTCTGCACATAACCCTATTGGAATTGGGGTTCAGGGATATTGTCCAAAAAAGTATGAGAATCTAACCACTGCTATTCTTGTGAATAATAAATAATAAAGTTCATTGTCTTTGATTGAGGAGTCTTGTATCTACTGCCAGGATCCATACAACTGTAGCATGCTAGGTTACTAATTTGTAAGTAAGGTTAAACAGGACACTCTATTAAATGTTTCGGTGACAAGATTAGGGCACTAACAGACCCATAATAGTGTCAAAGAGGAAAGACAAAGGTCTGGTAGATCTTGAAGAAAGTCCATGAAAACAGATAATAAATATGTTGACTAAATTTTATAACTAATTATACAATAAATGATTTTCCACCTTACTGCTGGAAAAAAAAAATAAAGTTACTAGAAGATAGTACACCAAATTTTTGTAGTAGGGGGAAAAGAGTAACAACTTGGCACTTCAAGCTGGAAATTCCTTAGATATCAGAATGTACAGGGAAGGTAGAAATGCTAATAACCTTTGTCTGTCAGGACCACTCCTATATCTTCCTCATAAAGGAAGACACCCTGGTGTGATTCTTTCAGACTTTCTCAAGCACCTTAAAATTTAACTGATATATCTTATATTTATGTAAATATGTATTTTTTGTCACCAATAAGTGTGTGCAATCATCCAAGAGAAGAGAAAAAAAAGATAATCCCCCCATGGGACATGGTCATGCCACAATTGTTTTTCCTCCATCTCCTCATCCTGTGAGGCTTTGGGGCACACACACACACACAGTGCCCAGAGTGTTTTTTAAGCTGCCAGGGCTGGGATTAAAATCTCAGTTGGCCATGTGAGGTCCAATTCCCTATACACAGCACTTAACTGCTGTGCCATGAAGTCAGCCCATATCTTATATTTTAGAAGTACAGAATAGTTTTCATTTCATCTTTTCCAGATCCAAATGGATTTAATGGTTATGGATATGTTTTGTGTTTATTTCTCAGCTTTCTATTTTCAAACAAAATGGATGGTGTAATATTGTACAAATGAACAAAGTACAAGCTTAAGTTTACAACTTCTTAAGAGTACCTCTTTTTCTTCTAATATCCCAGAAAGTGAATAGCTACCCCTTTGCTTTTCTGGACTGCAGGGCAGAACATTTTTCAGCCTAAAGATTACAAACATGGAAATATTTAAAAGTTGCTCACCTTATGTAACTGGTTCTGTTCCAGCTCTTCAAGTAAGGTCTAATCTTGTGTGTGTGTGTTTGTTTGTGTGTGTGCACATGTTTTATACATTAAAATCTTGCCCTCAGTACCTAAGACCTATATCTGTGTCTGACAGAAATGAGTCTGCATCTTCAAATCATTTTTACTATTTTCACTTTTATTTCACTATTTTACTTATTATTTACACTTAATCATTGTACATCTTTATTGTGTACAATATTATTTCTCCTAGCATGAATACAGTGCATATTAGTGAAGTCAAAGACATTACCATATATATTATTATCAACAGATAACTTTTAATTTTTATGTCTATTAAATGTTGTTTGTTTCTTTCCCTGATCCCCTCCCTGAAATTCTGTAGTACCTACTACCTATTACCCTTTTCCTTCTATATTGTCTCTACTCTCTACAGTTGGCCTCCCTGCTATTATACCTTCCAGTCTTTCAGTTTCTGCTATAGAATAGAGACATTCAGTATATATTAAGTGGAAATATACAACACCTGTCTTTCATAGTCTGGTTTATTTTGCTTAGCATTAAATCTTCCATATTCATCCACTTAATATCAAATGTCAGGGTCTCGGGAACCAGCAGTTAGCGTAATGGCTATGTTGCTGGACTCCCACGTAGTCAACTGCGGTTCGCTTTCCGGACCCGGTGGCTTAAAACTCACGCCGGGTGCATGTGCGTACGTGCCCAAGATCCCAAGAGGAGAATGGAGGAGAAGGGATTGTGGCATGATCATCCCCCCTGGGGGGTGA